TGGAAGACTGCTCTCCTGTCTGCCCTGGTCCTTTTCTTCACTAGACTAGCCATGCCCAGTTCCTGCAACCGTTCTTCATTCTTCGTACATCTTCATAAAGCCATTTCTTTAGTGTTCATATTAGACATTTCTTCATAAAGCCATTTCTTTAATGTTCATATTAGACATTTCTTCATAAAGCCATTTCTTTAATGCTGCCAAGAGTGTTAAATGGATGTGTAAGGTTTTTTGTCCCAGAAGAAATATAGGTTGTTTTTTTTAAATTTTCACTCCTTAATTCACTAGTTAATCAAATAGTCAGTATATTCAAGAAGAACTGTAAGGTAAAGGTAAAGGTTCCCCTCGCACTTATGTGCTAGTCATTCCCGACTTTAGGGGGCATTGCTCATCTCCGTTTCAAAGCCAAAGAGCCAGCGCTGTCCGAAGACGTCTCCGTGGTCATGTGGCCAGCATGACTCAATGCCGAAGGCCCAGGGAATGCTGTTCCCTTCCCACCAAAGGTGGTTCCTATTTTTCTACTTGCATTTTTTCCCGGGCTTTCGAACTGCTCNGACTGTGGGGGTGATATGCTGACTCTGTAAACCGCTTAGAGAGGGCTGAAAGCCCTATGAAGCAGTATGTAAGTCTAACTGCTATTGCTATTGCTATTTTACCCATTTAAGATGGAGATTCACTAATATCCAGTGCATATACTGTAATTAAGAAATAAAGTTTAGAACACCGAGACGATGTGTAATATTTAACAGTGCTGTATGAAGTTATGCCTTCTTTAAGGAGACATAGTTGTCTAGGTGTGTATTGATACAACAAACAACCTAGCTTAATTTGCAAACCATAATGGATTGGTTTAATGCAACTCAAACCAAACAAACCTTTTTTTTTAGATTTATCTGCAATATGAATTAAAATAAAATAAACTTAAATAACCTGATTCTTCTCTTAAGTTAAGAAACTACAAGATACTCTTTTAGCATGCATTTCAGTACAAATGCAATATCAATACAAATTAAACATAAATCCCACTGAATTCAATACATATTTCTTCTCTGTTAAGAAATGTGTAAAACACATCAAATTGTAACCAAAGGTTTAAACATGATATTCATCTACTCCCTTTCTTGTTTTTGCATTTTAATTGAAATCAGTAAAAAAAAAATACTATAGTTAACTCTTGGAGAAGTCTGAGAATAAAAGCAAAGCTCCTTTATGTAAAACTTCTAAATCTTGGGTGCAAAATGCTGATCAATAAACTAGGCATCGAAGAGTTGAGAGTACTGTATTTTTTTACTGTCAATCAAATGATTATCTGGATTGCTGAAGTTTCTATCTGGTAGCCCTCCTTTAAAGAAACTCAGAAGACATTTTTAAAAAGCGGAATGGTTGTGGTAAATTGCAATACAGAATTATATTGTCTCTATTGCCATTCTCTATTGCCATTACATCAATAATACATAGCAGAACACCTTAATTTTTAATACTGAATCCCTTTGAAATATGTGATTTTCTTTACAATTTTTCCTTGTGTTTTTCTAAAAGAAAGTCTTATTTAAAGTTTAAAGAAAAGGATTAGTTGTCATTTCTTTAAACCAGTTTCTCAACCTTGGCGGACTGAAGTCCACACATTTTCAAGTGGCCAAGGTTAAGTTACATCATAAGAGTAGCTTTAAACTACTCTTCACCTAACAATCGAATTATAAACTTTAAACATACATTTAAAGAAAAATTCTGAAGTGATCAGGCACTTCAACATACAGAGATCATGGGGCAAAATTAAAGCTATCAAAGAAACCCAGACTCGCAAAATTCAGTTTATCAGGAAAGCCACTCAATATGTTCAGTACTTATCAAAATCTTGACATGTGCCTCCTACCAACAAATGTACAGATGGTAACTCCTATCTTAAGGTTCTGTTCACATTTCCCTGCCCAAGAGTCATTTTTATTCAAACATGATTAACACTTTAAGATCCTTCAGAAGTATGGGGACCATTTTATCTTTTAACTGCACCTATCGTTTTAAGAGAGGGGGGGAGGGAGAGAACACACACAGCTCTATATGAGATGCACATACAAATTAGCAATAGGCCTTTTTCCCCCCAAAATGGAAAACTTTACACTGGTATAATGTTAAGAGTGCATTTTAAGTATTATATTAATATATTGCTTCCACCAAACCAAAGACTTTCACCAAGTCTTTATTTACAGTTTAGTATCTAATTAACTTCACTGTTGAAATACATTGTTCCCAATAATAATCATTTCTATTTTCAAAGCCTAACATTGTCTTTGTATGGTATACTGTATCTCTTTTAGCTTAAAACATCATCAATTTAAACTGGGAATTACTCTATATTGTTATAATAATCCAAGGAAATGCTTTTATAACTTTCTCCCCCCCTCCCAAAATGTAGGATTTTATATTGGAAATGAATGCTTACAGTTACTTTATGAGCAACCATAGCAAATTCCAACACGCTTTAAGTGGGAAAGTGCACTGTCCTAAACATGAGTTTAGGTGAAGGTGAGGCCCCAAGAGATTTTCCATAGCTCAGCTCATGCATGTGGCTTTATAAAAGCCAATGCGATTATTCAGAGAACAGAAGTGAGATGTACTGTATATATTTTGGTTCACCGACAAAAGGGCAAACGACAAAACCGCGCCCAACTAAACCACGTTGCTGACGTCATCAACAGGGCGACAACAGTGCGGAGACAGAAGCACGCTGTAAACTATAAACCTAAACTTAACCCCTAAACCTAACCTTAACCCTTAACCTAACCCTAAACCTAACCCTAAAGCTAACCCTAAAGCTAACCCTAACCTTAAGTTGAATCGGCTTTCTTTCAATGCGCTATTTAAAGCGACCTTCTTTCTCCGCGCTGGCTGTTGTCGCAGCGTTGAAGATGTCAGCGACGCGGTTTAGTCGGGCGCGGTTTTGTCGTTCGCCCTTTTGACGGGTCACGTATATTTTTCTATTAATTTGCAAAGCAATCTTGAACACTTACCCAGAATTTGGAAAAAGGCAACCTTAAAAGCAGTTTCCAAATTTCTGTCATTTAACTATCAGTTTCAAATCCGAGATGGACTAATATTCAACACCTAGACACATACGCACACTCACACATACACACCATCTGTGGCATCCCATCCTGTCCCAATGCAATCTCTGCATAAAACTGCTTAGAGAACTTACTAGGCTTCTAGGATGCACAGTTCTATTATTCCTTGCCATTCATTTTTAAGGAAACAACAGATACATTTGAATTTAATAAGCTGACTGAGGAAATAAGCTTAAATTAAATCCAGACAAGAGAGGAGGCTGTTGGTAACGAGAAGACTGGACTTGAGGATTGAGGTTCAGCCTGTTTTGGATAGAGCTACGCCCTTCCTGTAAAAGCAGGTTTGCCACCTGGGAGCGTTTCTGACCCTCGTGAAGTTATTGGTGGTGACTGTGGTGAGAACTTCCTTTTCACCATTACGTTTGAGCTACCAAATACCTCGCTTAGGCTAATTGGATTTGGATTTTTTTTCCCCCACACCTTGGTTACACCCCATCGTATGCCATGTAATGTGCTGTCAGTTGGGCTTTATCCTTGAACAACAGCTGAAAGTTGGAACAAAATGGGGCATCCAGGCTCCTAATCAGTACAAAGTAAATAGATCATATGATCCCTGCACTGAAAGATCTGCCGTTTGCCAATTACATATCAGGGACAACTTCAGCTGTTCGTGCTGACCATCAGAGTGTTATGTAATGAAGAAACTAAGAACTGCTTCTACCATTGCCAACCTTGCTAGCTGTTAGGAACTACAAATGCAATTCCTGCAGGCCTATGCTAAGCAGCCTGGGAGCAACCTAAGAGAGAGGCCCACCTTTGTGGCATGAAGTTCAGAGCCTTCTCCTCAGCTGGGACCAGGCTCTGCAATACATCCTCAGGAGTTGCTTTCAGCCCCCCTCTTTCCCAGCCTCTGGGAAGAGTCTATAAAACTGTCTCAAACTTTTGTTACATAATTCCAGTACAGGTAGTCCTCGCTTAGCTGTGACAATTGGGACCAGTAATTTTGTCGCTAAGGTAAACAGTTATTAAGTGGAAAAATCACATGGCCATAGCAGAATTATGCCATCACTTCCCATTTGGTTGTTAAACAAGTCTCTGTGGTCATTAAGCAAAACACATGATCACAACTTACAATTAATTATGCTTTCACATTCTCTATTGACTCTGCTTGTTGCAAGTCGGTTGAGAAGCAAAGCAAATGGCTTATCATATGACCAAACAACGCTGAGATAGTTTTAAAAGCGAGGATTGGTTGCACAGCTGTTTATTAAATACCATTGTACCTTTGAACTATTACTAAACCAATCGGTTGGTAAATTAGGATCAATTTCATTTTAATCTGTGATTTTAACTTTTTAATATTCTGTTTTGTAACAGAATAAAAGAGAAAATATAAATCAAATTTTAGATAGATGATGGATGGATGGATGGATGGATGGATGGATGGATGGATGGATGGATNCCAAGTGTGGCCTTACCAAGGCCTTATAAAGGGTTCACCGACAAAAGCACACTCGACAAAAGTGCGCCCGACAAAAGCATGGCGAGAAAACCGCGAGTTCTAAACCACGCTGACGAATGAGCGCAGAAGCGCGCTGACAACAGCATGCTGACAGAAGCGCGCTCTAAACCCTAACCCTAACCCTAACCCTAACCCTAACCCTAAACCTAACCCTGAACCTAAACCTAACCCTGAACCTAACCCTTACCTTAACTTAAATCGCGCTTCTGTCAGTGCGCTGTTGTCAGCGCGCTGTTGTCGGCGTGTTGAGGATGTCACAGTTTTCGCACCACGGTTTCCTCGGTGCGCTTTTGTCATGCGCACATTTGTCGGGTCACGCTTATAAAGTGGCATTAACACTTCAGCGGATCTTGATTCTATCCTTCTGTTCATGCAGCCTAGAACTAGAATTTTTATTATTATTGTTATTTTGCAGGAATGTAAGTTCAGATGGCGCTGAAGCACGTCGGAGACTCCGGGAATGTGAAGGGTTGGTAGATGCTCTTCTCCATGCTTTGCAGTCGGCTGTCGGCAAAAAAGACACAGATAACAAGGTAACTTCTGGGTTGCATGTCCGAAAGGGAATTGTAGCCCTATCTGTAGCCCTTTCTATTTACAGGTTCTCCATCCCAGCCAGCTGGTCTTCATGCGTGCAACAGAACCCAGAAGTGCAGCTGGCCACCACACGGATGCACCACGGCCAGCTGCTCTCTTCTGTGTTCTGGCGCTTTAGTGCACGTGCACTCCAGTTTTGGCACTCGGTGCCGAAATAGCAATAGCAATAGCAATTAGACTTATATACCGCTTCATAGGGCTTTCAGCCGTCTCTAAGCGGTTTACAGAGTCAGCATATTGCCCCCAACAACAATCCGGGTCCTCATTTTACCCACCTCGGAAGGATGGAAGGCTGAGTCAACCCAAAAGCTTTTTACTAAAGGTGTTCCTATTCTGGACATGCAATACATTCCAGGTGTTTTAAATGCATTTTGTCAGCTCAAAATAGGTGAGGGGGTAGAGATGTTATTTCAGGTTTGCAAGATTCTGCCAATGTAATCTTAGAATAAAGTAGAGTGTGTGTGGGTGTGTTTCTTGTCTGGACTACCTCGCAAGACTGACAGGTTGTCAAGGGGTTCCCTTGCAACTTAGAGGGAAATCAAGAAGGAAAAAATGAGATGGAATGTTGCAGATGTCCATCAATTCTCCTTTGCCATCAACCCTATCGCTTGCGTAGTTGGAATATTCAGTCCCTCAGGGAACTGTAAAAATTCGCACAACGGTCCTGTTTCTCTTTGTGACTTACCTCCTCATCCTTCTCGCGAATTAATTTCTCTGTGTCGGACATAGGCAGGACAGGCAGGTCAGTGGCACTCTGGCGTGACAGTTTCCTAGCGATACAGGAGTTTAAAATTTCACTGTGTCACATTCTTACTATGTATGTATGATTTGAAAAAAAAATGACATATGGCTGTTTTTCACCGTTAACAACCTTTGCAGCATCCCCATGGTCATGTGATCAAAATTCAGATGCTTGGCAACTGACTCATATTTATATTTATAACCACTGCAGTGTCTCGGGGGGGGGTGTCACGTGGTCCCCTTTTTGCATCCTCCTGACAAGCAAAGTCAATGGGGGAACCAGATTCACTTAACAACCAGGTTACTATCAACTGCAGTGATTCTTTTAACAACTGTGACAAGAAATGTCATAAAAGGGGACAAAACTTAACAAATTCTCACTGAACACCATAAACTTTGGACTCAATTGTGGTTGTAAATTGAGGATTACCTGTATTTAAATTGGTGCTTTTCAGATTTGGCAACATTTAAGATGCATGGGCTCCTAGAATTATCCAGCCAGGGGTTTTGGTTCCCCTCTTCTGCCCTATGCCATACAATTACAAACCCAGCCAGTCCCTTGATTCATTCCTCCTCATCTGAGTTCTCTTAGCTAAATTCCCATTTTTCCCAAAAGTCCCAAAGCGGACTTACGCGCGGCTACTGCGATCCCGAGCCCCGGGTCTGGTGAGACTCTGAATGTACTGTGCGCGGTAATTTTCGTAATGAACCTCGTGGGTCACATCCTTCAGGTCCTGCATATGAGTTTGAATCAACATGTTCCGAAGTTTAAGGAAGTCGCAGTGAGCAGCGTTCTCCACTAGGGGAAGAGAAAAGGAAACCAGTACCGCCTCTGACTTCCCACGGCACAGCGCCCTCTACTGCCCACGTCACTCTTAAAAAGATTTTAAGAATTTTTTTAAAAAGATTTACCTTCCACTGTTCCCCACGCATACTCTCTTCCCCGAAATCCTTTGCCCTTTAACTCTCCGACCACGTGGCTAGATCCAACGACAGCAAAAGGCATGCTCCTCTGCAGGGAGAAGGGCTAATTAGGATCCTTGGCTGCTTTAACTAATCCAGTGTTAGACTTTTGGACACTTGAAGAGGTGTGGACTACAACTCCCAGAATTCCCCAGCCAGCGAACAAGGCTCTCACCTTCATCTCAGCATCCTGAGTTTTGAACGCTTCGTCTTCATCGGAGTCACACTCAGGAAACTCATAAGTGCAGATGCTGTTGGCTTCTAACTCCTGCCGAATCTGTAATTTTAAAACAGCCTTGAAATGTAGCTACGGAAAGGATGGTGGGAATTTAATGCTGGTGTTTTTTTTCAGGTAGAATCAGGCATGACTAGGAGCTGGATGGGAGACCACAAGGAAATCTTAATAGGGAATTTTTGATTGCATGATTCACTTAACAAACTGCAGTAATTTGCTTAACACCCATGACAGAAAAGGTCATAAAATAGGGCCCATCTCTCTTATCAACCATTTGGCTTAGCAACAGAGAGGGGTCTGCATTTCCTCATAATCTACAAGATTTATTTATTTTTCTTGCCAGGTACCTTTTCTTTCTTTTGCTGCACTTCTTTCGGTGTCAAGCAATCTGCTTTTCCAATCACAGGCAGAATGTTGACTTTGTCATGAATGGCTCGGAGGAATTCTATATCCAGGGGGCGGAGTCTGCAGCAAAAGAGGAGGAGCCACAGGTTTGAATGCCCTTGGAAAACATCCTAGATCACGGGTATCAAACTCAATAACATCACGTGATGTATTGCCACATTTTTGCCTTTGTGGAACCGGGGGGTGGCACATGACACATCTGACCCACAAGCCACCAGTTTGATACCTCTGTCCTAAATTTATAGCCAAACAGCTAGATTCCTCCTCCCCTTAACTGATTATTTATTTCAAATAAAATAATAAATTCATCTACCAAAGATTGTACTCGATGGTGGGTGCAAATGCTGGGTTAGGTTCTATCTGCTGTGGAGTTCTTGGTGTTCTCTGAGCTTGGTTGTTTGCTTTCAAACATTTAATTACCCTACTAGATAACATCATCAGTGATAGTGAGTGTGGAGTTTGCTTCCTGTTTATATACAGTGGCTTGCCCTGGCTTTGTTGAACTAAGCTAACACTTGGCCTTCCTTTGGAGATACCTGGTCCTCCCAGGAGACCAGGGGTGAGGCTCTCATTCACTTTTCATTCTGCTTTACTCCTAAACTTTTGTGCGTCATACCCGTGCCCAAAAGGCGAGAGGACGTAGAGGCAGCAATGAACACGGCCATCCTGAATATTCTTGCGGTCAAGGCCACTCTCATCCCGGAAATACTGTTCAAACTGGCCATCAATGTAATCGGCAATTGGTTTCCAGCTGTAGAATAAAAGGGAAAGAAAGAGAGATAGTTTGTTCTAAAGCTTAAGGCACCAGGATAGAGAGCAGGAGACTGTGAGTTCTAGTCCTGCCTTACCGTGGAAGCCAGCTAGGTGACTTTGGGCCTGTCCCTGTTACTCAGCCCACCCCACCCCAACCCACAGGATTGTTGTTACAGGGAAAATAGGAGGAGGAAGGTTAGCCACATTAGTTATTTTTAAAAATAAAAAAGGCAGGATACAAATAAATAAATAAATTTGAGATAAGTCAAAGTTTTTTTTAAAAAAATAGTATTTCTAGAATGTGACTTTATCACTGGAGATGATAAAATAAGAGAATCTGAAAAGTTTCTATCCAAATTTTTCCTCACATTTTCCACAAAACAAAATCAAATTGGAGTTAACTTTAATTTTCTTTCTTTCTCCTACTCGCTTCAGTCTCTGAACTGTGTACAGGTACCCATTGAGTCACAACGATCGATGTAGTGATTCTCCAAAGCTACAACAACACTGAAAAAAAGTCACTTGCAACCTGTCCCCACATTTATGGCTATTACACCATCCCCATAGTCAAATGATCAAAATTTGGGCCCTTGGCATCCAGGATGTATTTATGACTATTGCAGCATCCCAGGGTCACATGATTGCCATTTGCAACCTTCCCAGCTGACTTCCAAAAAGCAGTTAATGGAGGAAGCCAAATTCACTTAATGACCGCATGATTCTCTTAACAACTATGGCATTTTACTTAACAACCGTGGCAAAAAATTATAAAATCAAACTTGGTTTGCTTAAAGATCCTTCCTTAACTATGAAAATTCTGGCAATTCTAGTGGTTGTAAGTTGAGGGCTACTTATAATCTTGTTTCCCATTCTCCCCTTAATGTTTTTTTCCCATACCTCTTCCAAAGTCATCTCTAAATCTGTTTACTATAAACTTATGCCAAACCTTCTTTCCAATCAGGATTCTGTATACATTTTTTTGTGAATAAGCATTATCTGGTTCAGTTTTCAATCACAGAATTAAAACATAGCCAAACCCAGAGGTTTATACTGCCTTATAAAACCTTAGTAAGACTACATCAGAAATACTGCATCAAGTTTTGATCATCACATTATTAAAAAAAAGGAGTTGAAACTTTGGAAAGAGTGCAGAGAAAAGCAACAAAAACAATTAGGGGCCTAAAGACTAGAACATATCAACTTTGGCAGGAATTGGATATGGCTAGTCTAGATGAAAGAAGGACTAGGGGAGGCATGATAGCAGTTTTCCAATATTTAAGGGGCTGTCACAAAGAACATGGGGGCATATCTGTTTTTTGCACCAGAAGGCAAGACAAAAACAATGGATGGAAACTAATCAAGGAGAGAAGCAACCTAGAACTAAGAAGAAATTTCCTAACAATGAGAACAATTACCAGTGGAATAGATTGCCTTCAGAAGTCACTGGAGCCTTTTAAGAAGAGACTGGACAGCTATTTGCCTGAAATGATATAGGTTCTCCTACTTGAGCCGGGGGTTGGACTAGAAGACATCCAAGGTCCCTTCCAGCTCTGTTCTGATTGATTGATTGAGATGCAAATAATAATTAATATACTTAATAAGACTTCCAAGATCCTTTCCAGCTCTGTTATTCTCTAGGTGCCTCTTACCACTCCGTATTGTCTATTGCATCCCCAAGTCCTGGAGTATCAATCACTGTCAGCTTGACTTTCACTCCTTGTTCCTCAATATCTACTGCATGTTTGACAATTTCCAAAGTCTGGGGGATCCTGGCTGTGAAGCAGAAAACAGGAAAGCAGGACCAACACTGAGGTTTTCTAATCAGGTTACTCCTGCACGCCCATCTTCCCCNGATCTATCTATCAATCATCTATATCAATCTATCAATCATCTAATCTATATCAGTCATCTAATCTATATCTAATCTAGGTATATCCTATCAATCATCTAATCTATATTTATCTAATCAATCATCTATCTAATCTATGTATTTCCTATCAATCATCTAATCTATCTATCATGTATATCAATCTATCAATAATCTGATCCATCTACATCAGTCATATAATCTCTATCCATCCATCAGCTATCGATCTATCTATGTATCTAATCAATCATCTAATCTATGTATATCTATCAGTCATCTAATCTATTATCTACATCAATCTATCAATCATTAATCTATATCAGTCATCTAATATTAGATGACTAGATGATGATTAGATGATCATCTAGTCATCTAATCTATGTATATCTCTCAGTCATCTAATCTATATCATCTAATCTATATCATCTAATCTATATCAATCATCTAATCTCTCTCTCTCTCATACACACACACCCCTCTGAACATATCTAACACATTTTCATCCTCCCATTTGCTTATATTTATAATATCCTGTTACAGATATTCAGGGGATAGCTTGCGAGAGCAGGAGGAGGAGGTGGCGGGTGAATCGGGGACCACTGGCCGAGCAGCTCTTCCCCGCCTCTCCCCTTAGCCTGGGCTATAATGCAATGGAAGATAACTTAGGGTGGCTTAGAAATCTAGATTTATTTCACCGTTTCAGGAATGGTGCATTGGGGTTTTTGAGGAGAATCTGTGGGTTGGTTCAGGTTGGAATGTGCAAACTGCCTTCCCACAAAGGTTGGGGAGAGATGTAGTGCAATATTTCTCACACTTGGGAACTTTTAAGAAGCGTGTACTTCAACTCCCACAATTCCCCAGCCACCTGTGCGTTCTGTTTTCTGGCAAAAAAAACACTCATTGGATAAAATTGATTTGTTTATTGGCTGGGGAATTCTGGGAGTTGAAGTCCACAAGTTTTGAAAGTTGCTAAGTGTCAGAAACTCTGATTTAGCAAAGGCATTCCCAGAATGTGGCAATCTTGGTTATAGAGTTTTGTTTAGTTGCTCTCTCTTTTTTTTAAAAAAAATAATCCTGTGTTGTGCAGCTGTTTGGCCTAATAATGGAATATTTGGTGTATAATATGAATCTTGAAAAAATGGGTAAATTAAGTAAGTGTTTGTGTGGAACTCAATCTCTGGAATCAAATTACTTTCTCCCCTTAACTTGTTTTCTCTGTGGGCATTCAGCCTTGCATCATCTGAAGGAGCAACAAGGAGACCTCTGCCCATGTGCAGAGAGCATTCCTCCCTTCCGATCTCCAGACGGGTTGAAATAGAGGAATTTTTAGATCAATCCACATTTTTCTTTTCTGTCTCTTTTGCTCTTAAATCTCCTGCCCTGATGGATAATTCTCTTTTTGTTACAGTTGTTCCTTGCCTTGTTACAAGAAGCACAAAGGTAAAATTGTCCTTTTCATTTGCATCCCTATTCAATTAATTCAAATTGTAATTCTGTGTCTCAGCCTTCCCAAAATCTATATTGGATGGGAAGTACGGGATCTGAAGTCCTATAAATCCGGGAAGCATTGGTTTTGTTTTCCATTTTCCCCTCTGGTCCAATCCATTGTAACTTTGAACGGTTGCTAAGAAACCATTTCAAATTAAAAACCATTTCAAATTAAAGGTAAAGGTTCCCCTCGCACATGTGCGCTAGTCATTCCTGACTCTAGGGGGCAGTGCTCATCTCCATTTCTAAGCCGAAGAGCCAGTGCTGCCAAAGACGTCTCTGTGGCCATGTGGCCGGCATGACTAAATGCCGAAGGTGCACAGAATGCTGTTCCCTTCCCACCAAAGGTGGTTCCTATTTTTCTCCTTGCATTTTTTACGTGCTTTCGAACTGCTCGGTTGGCAGAAACTGGGACAAGTCACAGGAGCTCACTCCGTTAAGCGGCGCTGGGGATTCGAACCGCCGACCTTTCTGATCGACAAGCTCAGCGTCGTAGCCACTGAGCCACCATTTTCAAATTATAACAAATTATATAATATTTAT